ATTCTAAAAATGATTATCTGAACTATTTCTAACAGAGTAATAAAAAACTTTTAGCCTCAGCTCATTACTTTAATTACACTGCCTTATTTAAAATAAACAACGACATTCTGGAATTACTCTTCTTATTTGATTGTAATTCTGTTTCCCATGGTTTTAAAATTGAAACTCCTCATTTCTGGTTTACTCTCTATTTGAAGGGAATTTAGAGGGCTTATTCACTGAGTGCTAATCCCAACAGTTGTATAACAGTGTGAGTAACTAGCAGTTTGTATATTTGTCTCATTTGAAGGCTGTTGGGAAATGCCGTCTGGTTTCAGGGACTGTAGCCCACTGATAGGGCCCCAAGGCTGGAAATAAGCAAGGAGGCCTCCTTGGGAAAACAGGTCACTGAAGAGACAAAACCTGTCCCCCTGGGAGGGGCTTCCCCTGCCTCGCTCACATCACTCTGCTTGGCACTGTGATGGTCGGTTGTTGATGATGGGTAAGTTCTCTCATAAGGAGGGATGACCTAAGGTAGACATCGGTCAGTATGGGCAGCGGGAGAAGGACTTGGGGGACATGGAGAAAGGGCAAAAAAAGCGTGCACCCCTTGGCTCAGCTTGGACATGACCGGAGTCCTCCTTCTTTCTGCAAGAAGCCTCCTTATCTCCTGGTGTCTCTGCCCCACCTGCCTGGCTCAGGTTTGAAACAATACTAAAAGCAGGTACATCCTTAAACTGGATCAGGCATTTCCCAGGGACAATCAGGCCTTAAAGCAAGTTCCTCTAAGCATGCTTTGTTCTTTCCTTGAAAGCTACGATAACTGGCTCATACTGCGAAGGAGATTTACATTATTCATAGACCCTGACCTGAGGCAGATCTCTTGTGTTTCTCCACTTGTTATCCATGATCTCTATCTGTCTTCTGTAAACTTTGCCTTTTGACATTGATTGATGAGCTTTGCATCCATACCCCTGTGTATATGGTTCTCAATAAAAGCCTTTGGACACTGGGGCTCGGGGCCTTCTCCCCTAGAAGGAAGAGCCATGTCCCCTCTCCTGGCAAACAGAAAAGTGTTTATTCCCCCCAACTGTGACAACCCTGGGTTGGGCTCTGCAGGATTCAGAGCCCTGCTCCCTCCTCAGCTGGCTCCGGACAGTGACCCTCAGACCCAGGAGCCCCACACTCTACCGCAGCGCTCCCCACGATCGTCGCTCCCAGCAACGGAAGGCAGTGGGAATATAACCATGAGGAAAATCAGTGTAATTTAGAGAATAAAGAAGGGAAAGTACTTACTATTTTCTATTTTGTTTCATTCACTTTAAAGTTTTAAAAAATTCTCTTGTTTTTCAGGTTTAATGGTTAAAATATACATATTAGGAAATTAAAGATCAATATTTTAGTCTAATTTCAAATTAGAAGTTGATGCTGGATGTTCTGTCTTAAGTTCACCAATCACTACTGAATCTTTCATTTGGTGAGATTGTTCAAGGAAAAATGTTTAGAACCTCTGCTCCTAGTTTCAACCAATAGTGTTATTGATTTAATTTTAATTTGAGTTGGAAAACTTGAATTATATGAGAGAGTCCATATATCCTGACAACTCTGTTTAGTTGTTGCTCTAGAGAATATATAATGCAATTCATTTTTCCAATAACTAGCATCAACATATATTGTATACCCTAAACACAGCAAAGATGATTTTCAATCAGTAAAAGCTCATGTCTTATTTTATAGATGTTCAATCCACTTATCATGTGCAAGTGTACTAAATCATCCTGTGTCTCAGAAGCCTAAGGAAAAAAGATTCTTAAACCTACACATAATTGTTTTTCCTCTTTTTATTAAATCACCCGATAAGTAATTTGCCTGCTATTCTTTGATTAAATTAGCTCAGTACTTCACTGATTTGTTTTGCAAAAGCTCTAATAGTATTAGCGCACTGCTTATAGATTTTGAAAAAGATGAAGTGTATTAGAATTGCATCATTTTGCACAATTTTATTAGTTTTGTAAGAGTTAGTCTAACTTCATAATTATTAATTGTTAATGACTATATTTGTTTAATAACTCTTTCCCCTATGTTAGCTTTCCATCTGAATTTTTAAACTACACATTTTATTACATACAAATGAATAATTTAGTAAAAAAACATAAATATAACGTGAATAAATGTGATTAAATAATTTAAATAATTATACTTTATTTTCCTTAACTTTGCAGTTGGCATACTGATGAGAGAGTAGATAAAATCATAGTTTATAGTGCTTAGCATTCAGTATTTAAATATTATTTCCCTTTATATGATCCATTCATATGCATCTTCTATTCCTCCAACAACATTTAGTTTTAAATAATTATCTTACTTTTAGAGAGAGAGGAAAAGCCAGAGAGAGAGAGAGAGAGAGAGAAACATCGACTTGTTCCACCTCCTGAAGCGTTCATTGGTTGCGTCTTGTACGTGCCCTGACCAGGGCACTGAACCCACAGCCTTGGTGCACTGGGTCAACACTCTAACCAGCTGAGCTACCCAGCCAGGGTCTAGGCTTAAATTTAATAAACGCAGAGCATTAAGTTTTGCATTATAGAAATAATGACGTTACTGCATCTTTCTTGATGAGATCTTAACCTAAATGCGTTTTGAATACTTAAATTTATTGTCCCAGTGGTTAGAGTGGTTTGATGGTTTAACACTTAAGTATTTTGAAATGTTGGCATTTCATCTTATGTGAATGTTCACTATTGAGTCAGTGATTATAGCTTAATTTCAAGGAAGGGGACACATTCTTGAATGTCTCCATTCCCCTTTTTATTCCAGTTACATGTATCTAATTGTTTCTGCGGGCATATACAGTCACCAAGGACCATCTTCTATACTAGTTCTTCAAGGTCAGCCTCATCTATATAAGTTAATATAAAGAATTTTATTATGTCAGTTTTTTTTCTTTTGCCAAAGTGTAAATTACGATGACAGTAAGGACTTGTTTTGGAAATCCTTCAGGTTTTATAAGTATACCACCTATACTAGAGGTAAATAATGAGCAACCACTAAACTATCAGCACTTGATGTGTGGATATAAATTTTTTGTCATTGTAGCAACTGCAGCTTGTGCACTAGTAATTTAATATTGCAACTATTTTAGTGTGTCACTGGTAGAAGCTGGATATACCTACCCTCTTTCCAGGTCCCTGCAATATGAAACTATAACAGAGGTAATATCGTTGGCCTTCAAACAACAGTGGCTTACTGGAGAAAGCAGTTATCTCTCTGCCTGAGGAGTGGAATGAGCCATCATATTAAGACTGTAGTTAAACTTTATTCCTCCTGAGCAGTGATGTATGCCTTAGAAAAGGAGTCATGATGAGGAGAATTGAGTTAAGAGTAAAAAAAGAAATTAGAAATCTTTTTAGGTTTCTTAATGTAGGTCTTTGGTGGTTTTATTATTTTGGTGTTTTAATTACTTTGTTGTATAGTGTTGTGATTTATTTCTTGTAATAAACAAGGGCAAAACTATATCCCAAAACTAAGTTCAGATTACCTTTGAACCCATCATATCATTATCCAGTAACAATCATAAAAAGAAAATTATAATTAAAAAAAAGTTTCCCACATTAATGTCCATGCCAATATGTCAATACTGCTTTTTGAAGCTTAGAGTGTCTTGCTTCTCAAAATGTTTGACCCAAGCACAGATATCATATATCCACTTTAGTAGTCAGAGATAGCCCTTAAATACACCAAAAGCATGGGATTTAATTGGTCCCTCATGTTTTGTCTTAAAAATTGTGAATATGGCATTGTATTCCAGGAACATTTTTAATATAAATATATTGCATTATCCTTCAAATGGTATAAAATAATTGACACTCCAGAAAATGTCGTTTTTTTTCTCTGTCTTCACATTCTCCCAGTTTGAGGAGAACATATTAATGCTACCAGGCTGGGTTCTGTTAACACCATTTTCAAATGTTCTGAATTGAATGGTTAAAATGCTTTGTTAGTATTTCAATATTTCCTTACATTATGCACTCATTTAATATTTTTCACAGAAAATATCTGATTTTAGTCTGTTCATAATATTGATTCTAAATTTTTTAATTTTCATGAGAAATTAAATACAAACTCAAATAAAGCAGATATAACATACTTGAATGTTGATGTTTTACTACAAAAAAAGTTTAAAAAAAGCAAAATTTGGTTGGACTAAACATTAATATTTTTTACTTTGTTTCACTTATGAATTCCACAAAATATTTGGGAATGTGGAATATATAAATAAAGTCCCAAAACTGAATGAAAAGTATATTTTATATTGTATCAATAATACACAGTACAAATTAGTTTCAATGTCTTCGATCCTTTTAATTACTTTTACTTCTAATATTCTATTACTCTAATCTGAGGAACATTTCAAATTACGATTATATATATAAAAACTCCTGATAGTAGACCCTCAATTAATGTTTCTCTGTTTTAATTAAAAATTATCCTCATGTCATATTGATTTCAAAATGAACTTAGTATATTGTCTTATTTCAAATTTATATAAATGCAGTTATTAGTATAATATTAAAATTTTCCTTTACTGAACAGTTAATTCTTTGATAAAAAAATAACAATGAGTAAAGAGGAGATACTAAAAGGATAGATTCTTGATTAGAAAAGAAAAATAACCTATAATTTATGAGAATAAAAAAGAAAAAGTTATTACAAAATTAATCACATAATTGATATAATTATTCATAGCTCAACTAATGTTATTTTTAAAAGCCTAGTAACATTTGTATTATTTCAAAAATTTTTTTGAAAAGCTAGGACTTTTAGGTGAAAGAAAGAATTCTCTAACCACTCTCTAGCTACATTGTTCTTATATCTGAGTAGTTACTCTTTCTTAATTTAGCAGAAGAATCTCAGAATTAGAAATGCTGTCATTAATATCAGATTACTTATAAATGCTAATGCATGAATATGACACCCTCAAAACCTGTAACTTAACACTGTGTATTCTTTATTGCAGATAAAACGTGGATGCATACACCTGAAGCTTTATCAAAACATTACATTCCCTATAATGCAAAGGTAAAATAATTTATATGACATTATTGAATTTTTATATATCTATAATATTATTATTAATTCACGGTTGATCTTATGAAGTTTGATTATGCATTGGCATTTTGTGGTAGATGATCCCTGAAAAAATTTGCATAAATAAAATAATGTTGTAGTATATAGAATGTGAAGTTATTTTTCTCTCCAAGTGATTTTTCCTTTTAAATGTCCTTTATAATCTCTTTTAAAGTCATGAATGTGTTTTCTTCCAATGATTTTTAGTTATTGTTAAAAATTGCTCTTGGTATCATGACCTGTAGGAAATAAAATTACCAACAAATTAGTGTCTTTTAAAAACATTTTAATGTTGCATCACAGAGATGAATATAAAAAGTGATCTGGATATGAGAAAAATGAACTGCAATTTTAATGATGCAGTTATCGTCCAAAAATTAAAAAAAAGGAACAAACAAAACTTAAGCTATTAAGAAAACAGAAAAAAAAAGTGTATTTTTTTGGTGAAGATTTTGTTCAGGTTGCTGCATTTTAAAAAATAAAAACAATCAATATTCCCTGTCTTCAAAGATTCAGTTTATTGTTCTTAGAAAACTAGAGGAATGAATGCAGCATACAAAATGGTCTTTAAAGAAAGGTGTTATCTTTGGGCTAGTGAGCACCAAATCTGAAATACATTTCAGAGAATTCTGAGTTTAAATATGGAAAAGACAAAAGTGAATTAAAGAGTTGGGTTTGGGAATATGAGAGTTGGTCAGACTTGAGCAGCAAACCTTAGGACAGTGTTGGGGGGGGACAGCAAATGATAAAATTATTTTTTATAAGAGAAGTTAAGAGCTTATAGGTTAATACATTATATGCTATGATATAATGAGATTAGGTATGAGAAATTATTTCAGGAAAAAATTTTTAAAATTTATTGAACAGAAAGTCAATGGTATTTAATAGGGAACTTGTAGAGTGCTTGCCTGAGTCTGAATCAGCAGGAAGAAGCTTTTAAAAAGACATCTAGAAGTTCTCCCAGAGCTCTTACTCAATAGTGAATTTGTAGAGTGAAGTAACTATAAAGGGTATTTTTTTGCTGACTTTGCAGCAAAAATAAAAACGCTTTAAAACACTTTCTCTGTAAAACTAATGTATTTGACATCACTATAATACTTACGAATTTCCATGTAAAGTTAGCATGAGGATTTAATTGCCATTATTTAGCATGTCAGGTTTAGTTAATGAGAAGAATTTTAGTGTTATCCATATCTTCACAGATATTCTTTATTAGCTATTGAAAAACTATATGAAAACTATGTAGAAAGAAAATCTCAAAAACTGCTATCATTTTAAAATGTATACTTTCTTTTTAAATAATGATCACAGTAGAATTCTATCCTTCAAGAGAAACTACCACAGAATATTTATTTTTGTATATGATCAAAATGCCTCATTGTGAAAAAATGATTTATATAGGATTGAAAGATTCTGATTAGAACTATCTTTAACATTAACTCTGTGGGTTAATGAGACAATGAGGATCTGCTTGTCTACGTGAAAAGCTGGCTGTGCAAATTCACAGGCGCATAACAACTGTTAAGTCCTCCCACACTGCAGAGGGCACAGAACCATCTTCTCAGTCTGGGCTCAGGAAAATATGGAAGAGCAGGTAGGATTTGTCCATTCTAATATGGCCTCCTGATTGATAGAATATGTCATGTATACAAAGTAGTGTTACAACTGTATGAAGAGCTTTTTTTTCCCCCCTGAATTTCCTCCTTTGTGGGACTTTTTAAATTGATCATTTAGTAGTTGTTTCTGAAAATTTTCTATTTCTCTCATTAGAACACATGCCACTTGACAACCAAATCCATGTCCATGGGAAGTACCTTAGCACAACAGAAAAGAATACAGACTGCAGACATAAGGTGTTAGATAAGTATTAGAAGAATATCTGTAATAAAATAGTTGCTCAAAAAGCATTAGAAATTATTAATTTATCTTTTTATTTTTCTTACAACTTGCCAAAGTTCTTGTCTCATAGTAGGTGTACAGTATATATGTATTTAAAGTATTTTTAGAGGGGCGGGTAAGAGAGAAATAGAGGGAGAGGAAACTGGCCTGCACCCCAGGCATGTGCCCTGACCAGGAATCAAACCAGTGACCTTTCATTTTGCGAGATGACACCCAACCCACTGAGTCACCCCAGTCAGGGCCAGTATATATGAATTTACTGAATTAATACATAATAACCTATCCAAGGTAATTAACAAAATTTTTACATTTCATTTACCCTCAATGTATGGCATGCACTTTGCTGGTGTGTTTTTATATGATCTCATTTAATATTTGCCATGACTCAGTGTGGAGACTATTAATCTTTGCATAGGAGAAAACTTCACATTTTATATAAGAGAAAACTAAGGCTAAAAGATTAAGTAATTGGCCCACTGTCGCAGAGCTAGTAAGACTGACCCAGACTTAAAACTGAAATCTGAGTTTAAAGTTTTGCTTACTTTTATGTATATAATACCACTTGATTATTCACTTGATTAAATAACTGTTACTTATAAAGTGCTATTGCTGAGAAACTTCATGAATGTTAGTGACGCTTCAGAGCTGTAAGACACAGACTTATATTTTAATGGCTCTTATTGTCATAGGGTAATATCATACAAAAAATACTATATAAAAGAGATCATGTTTTGTGCTATTCAAATGGTGCTTAACAGAAAGCCATAGAGGTTTGGAGAGGGTGTCTCTGAGTTACGAACATGGGGGTGAAGTAGGCTGAAGTGACCATTTCAAGCTGGGACACCTGGAGGAGGATGAGCACAGAGTCAGTAAAGTATGAGGCACAAGCTGAATACGACAAGAGTTGCCAGGACCGTGAAGGACTAATGACAATGTGAAGTACTTTCTCAGTTAAAATTCCATCTGAGAAACAGAACTAGTAGGGTGAACAGACACACACACATTTCTTTTAATGCAATCTTGAAGGGCTGTCCAGGCAAATCTGAAATCTATATGGCAAACCATCAAGAAGGGCAGGCTGGATACTGTTGGGCACCAACTGACCACAATTAGAATTTCTTCTTCAGCAGTTCGGTCTTATGTCTGTTTATAAAGCTGTTTGATTGATTGTATCAAGTCACTCAGATTATTCAGCATAATCTTTTTTATATAAAGTGAACTGGTTATAGCTGTTAATAATACCTACAAAATAACTTCATGACAACACTTAGATTAGTATTCGATTAAATAACTGGATAGGATAATCTGGCCAAGTTGATATATCACACTGACCATCACAAATACTGATGCTGGACAAGGCTAAAAATAAAAGAAATTGCAAAGGCTTTCAATGGCAGGAAAAATGGTAGGAGCAGTGAACTAATCAAATAGGATTTTAGGAAGATAAATTCTGTAGTAATCTGAAATTTGATTTGGATCAAGAGAGATAGGATGACATTGAACTTCTTAGGAAGTTACAGCAGAGATTAGAATAATGATGTTTCATTCAATGTTGTTTCATTACAACATTGATGAGAAGCTGTAGAAACAACTCTTCATATTAATTAGCCTATGATAAAACTGGTTTTGTTACATATTGTTTTGCTTAAAGTCTCAGAACCCATCGTTGGTGAGGACTTAATGTACTTTAATGGTCCAAGGGTGTGGTCATAAGTTTATATAGGGCAGTAGGTAAACATGTAGTGGAAAATAAAGATGTGCTAAATATTCCAGGTGAAGAATTGATGCAATAGAGGAATAATTTGTAAGTGGGGAAAAAGAAAAATTTCAATTTTTGTCCTGGCTAAAAGGGAGAATGATCATACCATTAAAAGATTCCCATCACTTCACTAAGTAAATATATAATAACAGTTACATTTAGATGTTTTCAGTTTTAAAGTAATAGTTTTCTGCTTAATGTTATAATTCCTTTAGTTTTTTTAAAGAACATATTTTAGTTCCATACTTGAATTTTATAGAACATTCTATTTCAAAAATTCACATTTAATATTCATAGTATACTTATTTCAGGCCATAAGTGGATATAAAATAGTAGTTGGTTTCAAAGTTTTAATCTGCAATAGGGTTCATTCATTTTTTTTTGAATGAGCAGCATTGATACTAATTCATTGGGAATTCTGCCTATTATTCTCTGTACTTCGTAGTTAATTTTTTTCAAACAGTTATACTCCATGAAAAAAGATGGTTATGAAGTTAGTACAGCAGATCATGGAAGGCATTTAAAAGTGAATATGACAGAAAAGAAATAAATTTTCAGATTGCATATGGTAAAATCAATTTTTTGCATGAAATTGTAACTCATGATCATAGAGTTTGAAAGCCACTGCCCTTAAACAGTAATATGCCTTTAAATAGTACCAAAGACTTCACCAGACTTAATTAATTTAAATCATAAAATAATAATTGGGGTGGTTGCTTAAAAGAGCAATTAAAATTTTAATATGAGATGATTCACATGTAAGTTAATCCACATGTCTTCATTGAATATAATATCTTAAAATGATTCCTGAAATACACATATAAACATGGTAAGAGTGATATAGAAATATAGTAAAATGTAAAATATAGGTCTGTGCACTCATTCATTCATACATGGACTTATGCATTTGAATTAAACTCCTAATATATGCCAGGTCCTGATCTGGACCATAGGAATTGATTAGTGAACCAAATAGATAAAATCCTGCCTTCCTGGGACTTACATAAACTAACAAAGTCATAATAACTTTTTTTGAGGGACACAAATAAAATAAATAATAAGTATATTTATATTGTGTGTGTATAAAAACATAGTATAAACAATATTTTACTTTTTAATAAAGTATTCCAGGCTATAACAGTTACTATGGAAAAGAATAAAGCAGGATGTAGAGAATTGAGACAAGTGGGAAAAAGGATGCTATGTTATACAAAGTGGTCAGGGAAGATCTCTGAGGAGGCCCAAAGGAAGAGAGGAATTGAGGCATGTGACTGCATGGGAGAAGAGTATACCT